ATGGGGCTGGAGGGATCACAGGTAACTAGACATGGGACTGGGATAGAGAACACATGGAACCTAGAACTGAAGCTGAGGACACAGGAACTAGCCATGGAGCTCTGCTGGGCTCGGAGGGAACACAAGGGAAACTATAAGAACAAATGGGGCTAGGGCTGGGAGGGACACAGCGGGAAAACTATAACCTGGAAGGCGCTGGGGCTGGGGAGGTACCCAGGGACTAGAACATGGGGGGCTGTGGGGCTGGGAGGGCACAGGAAACTAGACTGGAGCTGGGCTGGGAGGGACACAGGGAACTAGACATGGGGCTGGAGGCACAGTTTAACTAGACCATGGAGCTGTGGTGGGGAGGGACAACAGGAACTATAACAAATGGTCCTGGGAGGCACAGGGAACTAGACATGGAGCTGGGAGGGACACAGGGAACTAGACATGGAGCTGGGAGGGACACAGGACTATACATGTGGGATGGGGCTGGGCGGGACACAAGGAACGTAGACATGGGAGTCTGGGAGGGACACAGTGACTAGACATTGGAGCTGGTACTGGTAGGGACACAGGGAATTAGCAAATGAAATGGATGACTGTGGCTGTTTCTGGGAGGGACCAGGGAACTGACATGGAGCTGTTCTGGGATGGAACACGATTGAATATTAGACTCAATTATTGGATCTTTGCCTGGGGCGGGACACAAGGGAATTAGACATGGGACTGGAGGGGACACAGGGAACTAGACATTGAGCCTGTGGCGCTGGGGAAGGGACCAGGGAATTGACATGGAGCGGGGGGACACAGGGACTAGACCTGGAGAGCTGGGAGGGACCCTGGACTAGCATGGGTGGGCTGGGAGGGACACATGGAACTAGACTGGAGCTGGCTGGAGGACCCGGGAACTAGACATGTGGGGCTGGCTGGGAGGGACACAGGGAACTGACATGAGCTGGGCTGGGAGGGACACAGTGAACTAGAATGGAAGCTGGGCTGGGGAGGACAACAGGGAACTAGACAGGAGCTCTGGGCTGGGAGGGACACAGGGACCTAGACTGGTGCTGTGGGCTCGGTGCTGGGAGGGACAACAGGGAACTAGACATGGGTCTGGGCTTGGGGGACATCAGGGACTAGACATGGAGCTCTGGGAGACCAGGGAACTAGACATGGGGGGTGGCTGGTTAGGGACACAGGGAACTGACAGACATGGAGCTGGGCTGGTAGGGGACACAGGGAACTAGCCATGGAGCTGGGCTGGGGGGACACAGGGAAACAGACATGGGGCTTGGGCTGGGGAGGACACAGGAACTAGACAACAACAGACAGTAAGGAAATGGAGCTGGGAGGGGACCCATGGAACTAACATGGAGCTGGTATGACCATTGAATATACTTATGTTGGGTGGTTAGGAGACACAGGGAACTAGACATGGAGCTGGGAGGGACACAGGGAACTAGACCTGGAGCTGGGAGGGACACAGGGAACTAGACATGGAGCTGGGCTGGGAGGGACACAGGGAACTAGACATGGAGCTGGGCTTGTGAGGGCCACAGGGAACTACAACACAATGGGGCTGGGAGATGACACATGGAACTAGACATGAGCTGGGAGGGCACAGGGAACTAGACTGGAGCTGGCTGGAGGCACAGGGAACTAGACATGGACTGCTGGGCTGGGGGGAACAGGGAACTAGACATGGGTCTTGTGGAGGTACACAGGGAAACTAGACATGGGCTGGGAGGAGACACCAGTGAACTAGACATGGGGCTGGGCTGGGAGGGACACAGGGAAGTAGACATGGAGCTGGGCTGGGAGGGACACAGGGAACTAGACATGGGGCTGGGGCTGGGAGGGACACAGGGAACTCTAGACATGGAGCTGGGAGGAGAACACTGGGAACTAGACATGGCGCCTGCCTGGGGAGGGACAAAAACAAAAAAACGTTATAAACTAGACATGTGGCTTGGAGGGACACAGGGAACTAGACATGGAGCTGGATGGGACACTGGGAACTAGACATGGAGCTGGGCTGGGAGGGACACAGGGAACTAGACATGGAGCTGGGCTGGGAAGGACACAGGGAACTAGACATGGAGCTGGGGCTTGTAGGGACACAGGGATACTATAACATGGGGGCTTGGGCTGTGGGAGGGGACACATCAGTGAACTAGACTGGAGCGGCTGGGAGGACCAGGGAACTGACCTGGAGTCTGGAGGGACACAGGGAACTAACATGGCCTGGCTGGGAGGACACACAGAGAAGTAGACATGGGGCTGGGAGGGACAACAGGAACTAGACATTTGGCTTGGGCTGGGAATGACACCTTGAACTAACATGGGCTGGGGCTGGGAGGGACACAGGGAACTAGACATGGGGCTGGGCTGTGGAGGGAGCACAGGAACTAGACATGAGTGCTGGGCTAGGACAACAGGAACTAATATGTAGCTGGGGCGGGAGGGACACAAGGGAAACTAACATGGATCTGGGCTGGGGGCGGTACACGGGAACAAGACATCTTGATATGATGGAGAGTGGGCTGGCTGGGTGGATGGACACAGTGGAACTAGACAATTGGGCTTGGGGAGGGGAACAGTGAACTAGAAAACATGGAGCTCTGGGAGGGGACACAGGGAACTGACATGAGCTGGGCTGGTAGGGGGACAACAGGGAACTAGACATGGAGCTGGGCTGTTTGGGTATGGACACAAGGGAACTACTAGACATGGGGGGTGCTGTTTAGGGACCACAGGAACTATTACATGGAGCTGGGAGGGACACCAGGGAACAGAACATGGAGCTGGGACTTGGGAGGGACACAGGAACTAACATGGAGCTGGGCGGGAGGGACCAGGGAACTTACATTGGGAGTCTGGGAGGGCCACTGGGACTAAGACCTGGAGCTGGCTGGGAGTGACACGGTTGAACTAGACCTGGGTCGGAGGGACACAGGGAACTAGACATGGAGCTGGGAGGGACACAGGGAACTAGACATGGAGCTGGGCTGGGAGGGACAAGGAACTAGCATGGAGCTGGGCCTGGTAGGACACAGGGAACAGACATGGAGCTTGGCTGGGAGGAGGACACAGGGACAGACGTGGGTCTGGGCTGGGAGGGACCCATGTAACTAGACGATGGAACTGGGCGGGAGGACACAGGGAACTAGACAGGAGCTGGAGGGAGACCAAACAGGAAACTAGACTTGGGCTCTGGGCTGGGAGGGACACATGGAAGTAGAAACATGGGGCTGGGAGGGACACAGGAACTATACATTTGGGCATGGGCTGGAGGGACACAGGGAACTAGACATGGGCTGGGCTGGGAGGGACACAGGGAACTAGACAAATGGGCTGGGCTGGGAGGGACACAGGGAACTAGACATGGGGCTGGGAGGGACACAGGGAACTAGACATGGAGCTGGGCTGGGAGGGACACAGGGAACTATACATGGAGCTGGGCTGGAGGACACAGGAACTAGAAATGGGTCTGGGCTGGGAGGGCACAGGAACTAGACATGGAGCGGGGGGACACATGGAACTAGACATGGGCTTGGAGTGCACAGGGAACTAGACATGGGGCTGGGGCTGGGAGGGACACAGGGAACTAGACATGGGGCTGGGAGGGACACAGGGAACTAGACATGGAGCTGGGAGGGACACAGGGAACTAGACATGGAGCTAGTGGTCTTGGAGGGACAACAGTGAACCTTACAATGGAGCTCTGGGCTGGGAGGGACACATGGAACTATACATTGGAGCTCTGGGCCTGGGATGTACACAGGGAGACTAGACATGGGCTCTGGTCAAAATTAGTAGCGCACTAATATAGGGAATGGTGCCATTCTCTGGTCAAAAGTAGTGCAACTATTTATGGGAATAGGGTTGCCACCATTCTCTGGTCAAAAGTAGTGCGCTATATTAGGGAATAGGGTTCCATTTCTGGGTCAAAAGTATTCCTATATAGGGAATAGGTGGCCCATTCTCTGGTCTAAAGTAGTGCACTATATAGGGAAGAGTGGTTCCATTCTCTGTCTAAAGTAGTGCACTATATAGGAATATGGTGCCCATTCTCCTGGTCTTAAAGTAGTGCACTCCATAGGGAATGGGTGCCATCTCTGGTCCTAAAGTATGTCACTATTGTCCGTCACACGCCCTGGCTCTGGGGACTGTATGTTGAGCCAGGGTGTTGGATATTTTCCTTATTTGTTTTTTTCTATTTCATGTTCTAGTCATGTATTTCTATGTTGCCAGGGTGGTAACCCATCAGAGGGCACTGTAGCCTTCCGTTTGTCTCTGATGTGGCACCATACTTAGGCAGCCTGTTTGGCACTGTTTTTGTGGGATCTGTTTCCGTAAGGTTTTGTTTCAACCAGGACTTCAATCATCGTTTGTTTTGTGTTTTGTTTGGTTCGGTGTTTGTGTACTGCAATAAAAGAATGTACGCATATCACGCTGCGCCTTGGTCCGCTTCATCTAACGACGATCGTGACACTATTTGTGGAAACATCACCCTGATTAACTCTTTAGTCGTATCCCAGTTGACCTATTGCTGATGGCCCTGCCTGCACCTAGCGACTTGATTTTAAATTTTATGAGCAAAAAAGATTCCATTTTATTTGGAATGGCAAGCCAGACAAAATTAAACTGGCCTATTTAAATAGATCAGTATTGGTGGACCTACGTTCTCAGTGCTGTATTTAAACTGACTCTAGATCAGTATAGTTCCACCTACGTTCTCAGTGCTGTATTTAAACTGACTCTAGGTCAGTATAGTTCCACCTACGTTCTCAGTGCTGTATTTAAACTGACTCTAGATCAGTATAGTTCCACCTACGTTCTCAGTGCTGTATTTAAACTGACTCTTGGTCAGTATAGTTCCACCTACGTTCTCAGTGCTGTATTTAAACTGACTCTGGTCAGTATAGTTCCACTACGTTCTCAGTGCTGTATTTAAACTGACTCTTGGTCAGTATAGTTCCACCTACGTTCTCAGTGCTGTATTTAAACTGACTCTAGGTCAGTATAGTTCCACCTACGTTCTCAGTGCTGTATTTAAACTGACTCTTGGTCAGTATAGTTCCACATACGTTTTCGCTGTTGTGGTCTGTCACGCTGGGGCAGCCGAAGAGTTCTCGTCTCAGGAGGTTTCCATCGTACTCCAGGAAGGTTAGGTAGAGGTTCCTGAAGAATTCTACGTGCTTGTTCTTCACTCTCAGCTTCTTAGGAGAGTTCCAATGGATCACCTGTAGGGGAGGAAGGGGGAGAGATAGGGAGGCAAGGGGGGAAGAGGAAGGGGGGAGAGAAGAGAGAGGAGAGAAGGGAAGGAGGTAGAGAGAGGAAGGGGGAGGAGAGAGGAGGAAGGGGGGAGAGAGGGAAGAGAGGGACGGCAGAGAGAGGAAAGGGGGAGGACGAGAGGAAGGGGGTGAAGAGGAGGTGGGGGGAGGAGAGGAAGCGAGAGGCGGGAGAGAGGAGAGCAGGAAGGGAGGAGAGGGAGGAAGGAAGAGGGGGGATGGAGGTGGGAGGGCAGGAACGGGGGGGAGGGAGAGGGAAGGGAGGAGGAAGGGGAGAGAGAGAGGGAGGAAGGGCGAGAGAGAGGAGGAAGGGGGGAGAGAGGAAGGGGGGGAGAGAGGAAGGGAGGAGAGGAGAGGGAGGAAGGGGGAGAGAGGGAGGAAGAGAGAAGGAGAGCGGAGGAAGGGGGGAGAGAGGGAGGAAGAGGAAGGACGAAGAGAAAGAAGAAGAGAAGAGAGGGGGGAGGAGGAGTTAGGAGGAAGATGGGAGAGTGAGATCGAGAGAGACGAGAGAGTGAAGGAGTGTCAAGAAAGAGAATGAGAGACGAGGGGGAGGAGAGTGAGACGAGAGAGAGAGAGAGGCAGAGAGAGACAGAACAAGAGACAGAGAGAGATTGAGGACATCAGGAGGAGAGGGAGAGTGAGAGAAGAGAGAGAGGAGAGAGACAGGCAGAGGAGAGACGGAATCAGAGAGAGAGATGACAGGACAGTCAGAGAGACAGAGAGATGACAGGACAGTCAGGGAGACAGAGAGAGATGACAGGACAGTCAGAGAGACAGAGAGAGAGACAGGACAGTCAGGAGACAGAGAGAGATGACAGGACAGTCAGAGAGACAGAGAGATGACAGGACAGTCAGGGGACGAGAGAGATACAGACAGTCAGAGAGACAGAGAGAGAGTAGAAGGACAGTCAGGGAGACAGAGAGATGACAGGACAGTCAGGGAGACAGAGAGATGACAGGACAGTCAGAGAGACAGGAGAGATGACAGGACAGTCAGGGAGACAGAGAGAGGACAGGACAGTCAGAGAGACAGAGAGATGACAGGACGTCAGAGAGGACAGGGGAGAGAGACCAGGACAGGAAGGGAGACAGAGAGAGAAGAAAGAGAGGACAGTCAGGAGAGAGAGTGACAGGACAGTCAGAGAGACAGAGAGATGACAGGACAGTCAGGGAGACAGAGAGAGATGACAGGACAGTCAGGGAGACAGAGAGAGATTACAGGCCAGTCAGAGAGATGACAGGCCAGTCAGAGAGACAGAGAGATGACAGGACAGTCAGGGAGACAGAGAGAGATGACAGGACAGTCAGGGAGACAGAGAGAGATGACAGGCCAGTCAGAGAGACAGAGAGATGACAGGCCAGTCAGAGAGAGTATAAGCATCTGGAAGGAGCAGGGGGCATGATGCCAACATTACACACACACACACACACACACACAGACACACACACACACACACACACACACAGATACACAGCCCATAGAACAGCCCACACACACCTAGAGGAAAAGAGGGGGTCTGGAAACAGCTGCTATCTGTGTGTGAGATGCTCAGCTCACCTTGAGGTCTGACACGTCTTTGTAGCACTTCTCCGAGCGGGTGTGGTCTGAGAGCTGAACATTCCAGAAGCAGGGCAGCTGGTGAACCAGGAAGGGGTTCTGTTTGATCACGGCGTTGAAGATGTCCTGCAGACACACACACACACACAACCTTACAGATCAGACCTTACTGTAGATAACAGATAGAGACCAGACCTTACAGGTCAGACCTTAGTGTAGATAACAGATAGAGACCAGACCTTACAGGTCAGACCTTAGTGTAGATAACAGATAGAGACCAGACCTTACAGGTCAGACCTTACTGTAGATAACAGATAGAGACCAGACCTTACTGATCAGACCATAGTGTAGATAACAGATAGAGACCAGACCTTACAGGTCAGACCTTAGTGTAGATAACAGATAGAGACCAGACCTTACAGGTCAGACCTTAGTGTAGATAACAGATAGAGACCAGACCTTACAGGTCAGACCTTACTGTAGATAACAGATAGAGACCAGACCTTACAGATCAGACCATAGTGTAGATAACAGATAGAGACCAGACCTACAGGTCAGACCTTAGTGTAGATAACAGATGAGACCAGAACTTACAGATCAGACATAGTGTAGATAAAATAGAGACCAGACCTTACAGGTCAGACCTTACTGTAGATAACAGATAGAGACCAGACCTTACTGATCAGACCATAGTGTAGATAACAGATAGAGACCAGACCTTACAGGTCAGACCTTAGTGTAGATAACAGATAGAGACCAGACCTTACAGGTCAGACTTAGGTAGATAACAGATAGAGACCAGACCTTACAGGTCAGACCTTAGTGTAGATAACAGATAGAGACCAGACCTTACAGGTCAGACCTTAGTGTAGATAACAGATAGAGACCAGACCTTACAGGTCAGACCATAGTGTAGATAACAGATAGAGACCAGACCTTACAGGTCAGACCTTAGTGTAGATAACAGATAGAGACCAGAACTTACAGATCAGACCATAGTTAGATAACAGATAGAGACCAGACCCTTAAGGTCAGACCTACTGTAGATAACAGATAGAGACCAGACCTTACTGATCAGACCATAGTGTAGATAACAGATAGAGACCAGACCTTACAGGTCAGACCTTAGTGTAGATAACAGATAGAGACCAGACCTTACAGATCAGACCTTACTGCAGATCACATAGACAGAGTAGGAGTGTATTTTAGATCATAATGAGTCAGATTATATGGACAGAGTAGGAGTGTATTTTAGATCATAATGAGTCAGATTATATGGACAGAGTAGGAGTGTATTTTAGATCCTAAATGAGTCAGCTTATTGACGGGACAGAGTAGGAGTGTATTTTAGATCTAAAGAGTCAGATTATAGGACAGAGTAGTAGGAGTGTATTTTAGATCATAATGAATCAGATTATATGGACAGAGTAGGAGTGTATTTTAGATCATAATGAGTCAGATTATATGGACAGAGTAGGAGTGTATTTTAGATCATAATGAGTCAGATTATATGGACAGAGTAGGAGTGTATTTTAGATCATAATGAGTCAGATTATATGGACAGAGTAGGAGTGTAATTTTAGATCATAATGAGTCAGATTAAATGGACAGAGTAGGAGTGGTATTTTAGATCTTAATGAGTCAGATTATATGGACAGAGTAGGAGTGTATTTTAGATCATAATGATCAGATTATATGGACAGAGTAGGAGTGTATTTTAGATCATAATGAGTCAGATTATATGGACCAGAGTAGGAGTGTATTTTAGATCATAATGAGTCAGATTATATGGACAGAGTAGGAGTGTATTTAGATCATAATGAGTCAGATTATATGGACAGAGAGGAGTGTATTTTAGATCATAATGAGTCAGATTATATGGACAGAGTAGGAGTGTATTTTAGATCATAATGAGTCAGATTATATGGACAGAGTAGGAGTGTATTTTAGATCATAATGAATCAGATTATATGGACAGAGTAGGAGTGTATTTTAGATCATAATGAGTCAGATTATATGGACAGAGTAGGAGTGTATTTTAGATCATAATGATCAGATTATATGGACAGAGTAGGAGTGTATTTAGATCATAATGAATCAGATTATATGGACAGAGTAGGAGTGTATTTTAGATCATAATGAATCAGATTATATGGACAGAGTAGGAGTGTATTTTAGATCATAATGGAGTCAGATTATATGGACAGAGTAGGAGTGTATTTTTCAAACAAATTTTAGATCATAATGAGTCAGATTATATGGACAGAGTAGGAGTGTATTTTAGATCATAATGAATCAGATTATATGGACAGAGTAGGAGTGTATTTTAGATCATAATGAGTCAGATTATATGGACAGAGTAGGAGTGTATTTTAGATCATAATGAGTCAGATTATATGGACAGAGTAGGAGTGTATTTTAGATCATAATGAGTCAGATTATATGGACAGAGTAGGAGTGTATTTTAGATCATAATGAGTCAGATTATATGGACAGAGTAGGAGTGTATTTTAGATCATAATGAGTCAGATTATATGGACGGGACGGGGTCCTGATACTAGATCAACACTCCTACTCTCAGAGGCTTTATACATACGGCCCCAGACATCGCCGCAGATCACAGAAAAAGAGAGACCAGTACTTGCTGCAGATCACAAACATAGACAGAGATACCAGAACTGCAGATTAAATCATGTGCAGACCAGACCAGACCAGACGTTCTCACCTCATATCCTATAAACCCTACTGTCTATGTTATATTGAATCATCTAGACACCTTAGAACGGTTCATATACTATAAACCCTACTGTCTCTGTTATATTGAATCATCTAGAAACCTTAGAACGGTTCATATACTATAAACCCTACTGTCTATGTCAGGGTAACTCTTCTCCATTGGTGTTCTCTCTGTATTTTAACTGATAAAGACCCTCTAGTAACAGACCTCTTCTCCATTGGGTGAAACAGACACTGTCTTGGTACCTCTTATGTTAATCAGCATGACCGTACCGGTACGATTATATCTCACATGTAAGAACAACCCCTCAGATACAATAGCTGCCGCCGGATACTTCAAGGGCTTTCTTTAATAGAAGTTCTAACAGTGACGGTATTTGACTATGTTTTCTCTGACTGAGATCTTGCTGGTTCAGAGACCGTATTTCCGGACTATGTTTTCTCTGACTGAGATCTTGCTGGTTCAGAGACCGTATTTGACTATGTTTTCTCTGACTGAGATCTTGCTGGTTCAGAGACAGTATTTGACTATGATTTCTTTGACTTTGAGATCTTGCTGGTTCAGAGACAGTATTTGACTATGTTTTCTCTGACTGAGATCTTGCTGGTTCAGAGACCGTATTTGACTATGTTTTCTCTGACTGAGATCTTGCTGGTTCAGAGACAGTATTTGACTATGATTTCTTTGACTTTGAGATCTTGCTGGTTCAGAGACAGTGCATATTCTCCTAATAGGAGACATTATAAAGCTTGTTGTTATCCTCATAATGAACGGATCTGTAAAGAGGAGGGAACAGCTGATTGGAGGGTTGAACGGAACACAGCAGGAGGCGAATGGAATCATGGAACACTAAAACACTTCTAGAATCTTCACAAATTCCAAACTACAATACATTGACAGAACTTTATTTAATTAACATTTAATGAAAACATCGTAAACGTGCTTCTCATTTATGTGAGCTTGAAGCAGCTCTTAAATAAAATCCTTGGTGTTCAATTAACATAAAATACTCAAGTCTGAAGTGTAATAATCCAGCCATTTTAATGGTGAACTTCAAGTAGTTGAATACAGGGTGTGTTTATGATTCTGTGTGTGTGTGTGTGTGTGTGTGTGTATGTGTGTGTGTTGGCGGGCGTGCATGTGTGTTTGCAAGTTTCTGACCATGTGCGTGTGTGTGCGTTCGTATATGTGTGTGCGCGCTTTCGTATGTGTGTGTGTGCGTGCGTGTTTGTACGTGTGTGTGTGCGCGTTCGTACGTGTGTGTGCACGTTCGTACGTGTGTGTGTGTGTGCACGTTCGTACGTGTGTGTGTGTGTGCGCGTTCGTACGTGTGTGTGTGTGTGTGTGTGCGCGTTCGTACGTGTGTGTGTGTGTGTTCAAACGTGTGTGTGTGTGTGTTACCTGGTCAGCCAGTGATGTAGACAACATGCTCATCAGTTCTCTCTCTGCCGTCAGTCTCCACATCTGTTCCCACCTCAGCTTCCTCAGTCGGTCCAGCAGCAGCAAGATCACACCTGGAACAGAGGACACATGACCTGACTTAACAGTCTCAATCAACAGGTTACACATGACCTGACTTAACAGTCTCAATCAACAGGTTACACATGACCTGACTTAACAGTCTCAATCAACAGGTTACACATGACCTGACTTAACGGTCTCAATCAACAGGTTACACATGACCTGACTTAACAGTGATGTCTAACTGTGCGGTTGCAGAGAGAACAGTCTATGACTTGGGTGGCTGGAGTCTTTGACCATTTTTAGAGCCTTCCTCTGACACCGCCTGGTAGCCAGGGAGCTTGGCCCCAGTGATGTACTGGGCCGTACGCACTACCCTCTGTAGCGCCTTGTGGTCGGATGCCAAGCAGTTGCCATACCAAGCGGTGACGCAACCAGTCAGGATGCTCTCGATGGTGCAGCTGTAGAACTTTTTTGAGGATCTGAGGGCTCATGCCAAATCTTCTCAGCTTTCATTTCAAACAGAGAGGAAGTGATCACAACCACACCGTCGCTGCAACATATTTTCATCACATCACTTCCTGTGTTACTGAACACAAAAGAGACTTCTTCAGAGATGAAAGACCCTCTGTAGCCTGGCCATCTGTTGAAGAGGCCATTATCGCCTAATGCATTAGATATAGCAGCAATATTACAGCCAGCCGGCGTTCATTTGGCGGTTTGCGGCTCTGTTTCTCTCTGGGGCTGAGTCTCAAATGGCGCACTATTCCCTATGGGCCCTGGTGAAAAGTAGTGCACTATATAGGAGATATAGGGAATATAGTGGCATTTGAGACACAGCCTGCCTCTAGCTGTAGAAGATGGACCCAGCAGGGTGGAGAGAGAGACGGTTTGTTTGTTCCAATCCAAGACATTATTCATTCTGTCTCTCTCCCCAAGAAGAGAGGAACCAGAAGTAATACTTCTGTTATTGGTGAGAAAACTCACAGGCAGCTCAGGCAGGGAAAATATAGTGAAAAGTTACTCATTATCATTTTCATTGTGAATAGAGTTTGTACTCATAGAAAGTGTTGACCACATATTTCTCAGAGTGAAGAAATTACCTTGTGTGTGTGTGTGTGTGTGTGTGTGTGTGTGTGTGTGTGTGTGTGTGTGTGTGTGTGTGTGGGTGTGTGTGTGTGTTGTATGTGTGTGTGTGTGTGTGTGTGTGTGTGTGTGTGTGTGTGTGTTTGCATTCATGTGTGTCTCTCACCTGTATTGAAGCCCCTCTCCAGGGCGGGCCAGGGTCGATGATTCTTCCACAGGTTCCCCAGGTACCAGTCACTCTGGTTCTCCACCAGACCTAGAACCTGCTGACCTAGAACACAGAACACTCAGGTTACTATGGTTCCCCAGGCACCAGTCACTCTGGTTCTCCACCAGACCTAGAACCTGCTGACCTAGAACACAGAACACACACAGAACACTCAGGTTACTACGGTTCCCCAGGCACCAGTCACTCTGGTTCTCACTAGAACCTGGAAAAGAGAGACATACAGAACACTTAGGTTACTACTCAGGGCTGCTTTGTAGAAGAGTCATGTCTCATTATCATAATTACCCACCAGGGGGTGCTGTGGAGTCAGCTGTCAAACAACCCTCCGGTTACTACTCAGGGCTGCTCTGTAGAAGAGTCATGTCTCATTATCATAATTACCCACCAGGGGGTGCTGTGGAGTCAGCTGTCAAACAACCCTCAGGTTACTACTCAGGGCTTTCCGTAAAGACTGTCTCATTATCAATTACCCCCAGGGGTGCTGTGGATACTGTCAAAAAACCCTCAGGTTTCTACTCAGGGCTGCTCTGTAGAAAGTCCTTTTCCCTTATCATAATTACCCCCCGGGGGTGCTGTGGATCGCTGTCTAACAAACCCCCAGGTTACTACTCAGGGGGGCTCTGTAGAAGAGCATGTCCATTATCAAATTACCCCCCAGGGGTGCTGTGGGGTCGCTGTCAAAAAACCCTCAGGTTTCACCCTCAGGGCGGCTCTGTGATTTGGGATAGAACCACAAACAATGCTGCGTGTGTCATAGAATAGTGTTGGCTCGTTATAACAACCGCCCACCAGAGGGCGCTATGGGTCCCTGATCAACAGCTGTTGAAAAAGCAAATCCACGAATTAATGAATTGCAAGAAATAAAGGGAAATGAATGGTGCCTTTTTTTAGCAAAAAAACGCTCTCATTGGGGGAAAGCAAAGAAAAAAGGTGAAAGAGGAGAAGAGAAGAAAGGGGGGAGTGGATAATCTAGTCATGAAAGAGCAGAAAACCCTGTAGAGAGGGGGTCCTAAGTCTGGAGCTCAGGGGGAGAAGAGGGGGACACTTGGAGGAGTAGAGGGAGGTATCATCTTGGAGGAGTGGAGGGGAGGTTCACTTTTGGGGGAGAGAGGGGTTCAAACTTTGGGGGAGTAAGAGGGAGTATCACTTTTGGGGGAGGAAGGGGGTATATCTTGGGGAATGGGAGGAGGTATCATCTTGGAGGAGAGGGAGGTATCATCTTTTGGGGAGTAGAGAGGGAGGGTTTATCTTGGAGGAGAAGGGGGTATCATTTTGTGGAGTAAGAGGAGGGATCATCTTGGGGAATGGAGAGGGAGGGATCTCTTGGGGGAAAAAGGGGAAAAAAATTTTTAGAGGGGGAGTTCACTTGGATGGAAGGGGGGGTATCATCTTGGGAGTGGGAGGGGTATCATCTTGGATGGAGGGAGTATCAACTTGGAGGGTGGGGGGAGGGGATCATCTTGGAGGAGGGGGGAGGGGGTTCACTTGGGATGGGGGGGGGTAAACATTTGGAGAGTGAGAGGGGGTATATTTGGAGGATGGAGGGGAGGTTCATCTGGAGAGTGGGGAAAGGGGGTATCATCTTGGGGTTGGGGGGAATTTTGGGGGGAAAAGGGGGTATCTCTTGGGGATGAGAGGGGTATCATCTTGGAGGAAGAGAGGGGGTATCACTTGGGGGGTAAGAGGGGGGGAAACCTTTTAGGAGTGGAGAGGGAGTATCAAGGGGGGGGAAGGGGAGGTTTTTGGGGGTGGGGGGGTTTTTGGAGGGGAGGGTTAATATCTTTGGGGGGAGAGGGAGGTACATTTTGGGGAAGGGGGGGAGGATCCTTTTGGGGGGAAGGGGGGGGAAAGGGGAATTTGGGGGGAGGGGGTTTTCTTGGAGGGAGGGGGGTTTTGGAAGGGGGGGGACATTTAGGGTGGGGGGAAAAGGGGGGGTGGGGGGGTAATTGGAGGGTAGGGAAAGGGGTAATTTTTGGGGAGGAAGGGGGGGAATTTTTTGGGGGGGGGGAGAGGTAATTTTGGAGGTAGGGGAAAGGTTTAGGGAGAGGGAGGATATTTTGGGGGGTAGGGGAGGGGAAAAAATTTGGGGGAGTAGGGGGGGTTTTTAGGAAGAGGGGAGGGGAAAGGGGAAAGAGGGAGGTTACGGGGGGAGAAGGGGGGGGGGAATTTGGAGGGGGAAGGGGGGAATTTGGGGGAGGGGGGGGGAAAATTTTTGGGTTGAGGGGAGGTTACGGGAGTAGGAGGGGGTAATTTGGAGAGGAAGGGGGGGTTTTTTGGGGGAGAGGGGGGTACCTTTGGGGGAGGGGTTTCCCTTGGGGGAGAGGGAGGCCGGGGGATGGGGGGGCCTGGGGAGTGAGGGGGGGAATGGGGGGGGGGTAGGGGGGGAGGGGGTTGGGAAAGGGGGGGGGGGGAAATTTGGGGGAGGGAGGGTAGGGGTGGGGGAATGGGGGGGGGGTGGGGGGGGGGGTGGGGGGGGGGAGGGGGGGGGGAAGGGGGGGAGTGGGGGGGGGAGGGGGGGGGGTTGGGGGCCCGGGGGTGGGTTGGGGGGGTTGGGGGGGTGGGGGCCTAGGGGGGCCTGGGGGTGGGGGGGTGGGTGGGTTGGTTGGGCCCTTGGGGGGGGGCTGGGTGGGGGGGTGGGGGGCCCGGGGGGCGGCTGGGGGGGGGGGGGGGCCCTGGGGGGGGTGGGGGGTTGGGGGGGGGGGGGTGGGGGCCCCGGGGGGGGCCCGGGTGGGGGCCGGGGGGGCCCTCCCCGGGGTGGGGGTGGGGGGGGGGGGGGGGGGGGGGAACCCTTTGGGGCAGGGGGGCTGGGGGCCGGGGTGGGTCCCGGGGCTGGGTGCCCCTTTCCGGGGGGGTGGGGGCCCCCCTTTTTTTGGGGGGCGGCTCTCCGGGGTCGGGGCCCCCTTTGGGTCCCCCTGGGGGCCCCTGGGGGCCGGGGCGCTTTCGGGGCCGGGGGCGGGTCGGGGCCGGTTTTTCCCCCTTTTTACCGCCTTTTTTTCCCTTTTTTTTTTTGGGGTGTGGGTCGGGCCCCCTTGGTTCCCGGCTTGGGGGCCGGGGGGGGGGGGCCGGGGGGGGTTTTTCCCCGGGGGGGGGTGCTGGGGGGGCCCCATTTCCCTCCCCCCTGGGGTGCCCGGGGGGGGGGCGGGGGTTTTTTTTGGGGGGGGGCCCTGGGGGGCCCGGGGGTTTTGGGGGGGGGTGGGGGGCCCCGGGTGGGGGCCCCCCGGGCCCTGGGTCCCCCCGGGGTGGGGGCCCCGGGTTGGGGCCCTGGGTCGGGCCCCCCGGGGGGGGGTTTTGGGGGTGGGGCCGGGTTCCGGGGGGCCGTGGGGGGGGTCCGGGCGCTTTGTTCGGGCCCTTTGGGGCCGGGGGGCCCCCCCCGGCCTGGGGGGGGGCCCCGGGGGGGTTTTCCCCGCCCGGGGGGGCCGGGGGCCCGGGGGGCGGGCCCCGGGGGTGCGGCGCCCGGGGTGCCGGGCCGCCGGGGGGCCGGGCCCCCCCCGGGGGGGGGGGGGTCCCGGGGGGTGCCGGGGCGTGGGGTGCCGGGGGGGGCCCGGGGGCCGGGTCGGGGTGCCGGGCGCCGGGGGGCCGGGCGGTCCCTTTCCCCCCCCCCCCGCCCGGGACCCCCCTTTTCCGCGCTGGGGTTTTTGTGGGTGGTTTCCGGGGCGCCCCCCCCCGGGGGTTTTTTTTAAAGTGGGGGGGGGGGGGGGGGGGGGGGGGGGGGGGGGGGGGAGGTGGGTGGGGGTTGGGGGGGGGGTCCCCCAAAAGGGGGGGGGGGGCCCCCGGGGGGGTTTGGGGGGGGTGGGGGTGGGGGGTGGGTGGGGGGGGGTTGGGGGGGGGGGGGGTCCCGGTGGGGGGGGGGGGGGGGGTGCGGGGGTGGGGGGGGGGGGGTCCGGGGCGTGGGGGTTCGGGCGGCTCGGGGTGGGCGGCCCCCCGGGGGGGGCCCTGGGTCCCCCGGTTTTGGGGTCGGGGTTGGGGTGGGGGGGGGTGGGGGTTTTGGGGGCCGGGGTGGGGCCCCGGGGGGGTTTTGGGGGGGGCGTGGGGTGGGGGGGGGGTGGGGGGTGGGTGGGGGGTTGGGGGGGGGGTTGGTTTGGGGGGGGGGTGCCCGGGGGGTGGGGGGGGGGGGTGGGGTTCGGGGGGGGGTGGGGTGGGTTGGGGGGGGGCCCGGGGGGGGGTTTGGGGGGCCCGGTTGGGGGTTTTTGGGGTTTGGGGCCCTGGGGGGGGGGGGAAAAAATTTTGGGGTTAAGGGTTGGGGGGGGGGTTTTTTCTTTTTCCCCTTAACTTAAAAAATTTTGTTTTTTTTTGTTTTTTTTTTTGGGGGGGTTTTTTTTTGGTTTTTTTGGGGGGTTTTTTGGGGGTTTTGGGGTTTTTTGGGGGTTTTTGGGGGGTTTTTTTTGTTTTTTATCTTTTGGGGGCCAAAACCCCCCAAAAAATTGCCCTTTCCCCCGGGGACTTTTTTGTCCCCCAGTTTGTTTTTCCCCCCGGGGGGGGGTTGGTTTTAGGGTTAATTTTTAGGGTTCCCCGGGGGGAAAAGGTTTTTTTTTAAAATTTTTTTTTGGGGGTTTCGGGGTTTCCCCAGGGTTTGGGAAGGGTTTTTTTCGGGAAGGTTAACTTGGGTTTTTTAAAAATTAAATTTTTTTTTCCCTTTTTCCCCCAATTTTTCCCCTTGTGTTTGGTTTTTTTGGGGGTTTTTTGGGGGTTTTTTTTGGGGGTTTTCGTTCTTCTTCCCGGGGTTCCCCTTTGGTTTGGGTTTTTGGGGGTTGTGTTTTTGGGGGTTTTTTTGTGTGTTGGGGGGTTTTGTGGGTTTTTTTCTTTTTGGGGGTTTTTTTTTTTTTTTGGGGTTTTTTTGGGGGTTTTGGGTTGGGGGTTTTTCCCTCCCGTTCCGGGGCCCCCCCAAGGGGGGGGAAAAAAAGGGGGGGGGGGGTTTTCCCCAGGGCCCCCGGCCCCCTTTTTTGGGCCCCCCCCAACCCCCCCCCAAAAAATTTTTTTTTTTTTTCCCCTCCCCCCCAAAATATTTCCCACCCTCTCCCCAATATTTCCCCCCTTTCCTCCTTTTCCCGTCCCCCTTTCAAATTTTCCCACCCTCACCAAAGTTTTCCCCCCCCTCTTCTCAAAATTTTTCCCCCCCTCTAAATATTTTCCCAGTCCCCTCCTCTCAAATATTTCCCAATTTTCTATCCAAAGTATTTTTTTCCCCCCCCCCAAGTTTCCC